GTTGTTCCTCGTTCCTGAGGGTCCAGAACCAGAATGGTCATTCAGGCCTTGATCCAGTGAGTCACCTGGGCCCTTGGCTAGGGACACTGAAGTGAGCCAGAAACACCATCCCCAGGGGAGCACCCACACCCAGAGAGGGACCCAGGATGGAAAGGGACAAGCCGGGGCAGGGGTGCATCCCTCTCATGGCCAGGGACGTTCCCCGAGGGACTTTTGGGCTAAGACCTGACCCACAGGAAAGGTGTTGGGGTGGAGGGAAAAGTGTGTGCAGTGGCTCAGAGGCTGGGAGGAGCTCCGTGTGTTTGGAGGAGGAGTAAAGGGGTCATGGGGGACAAGATGCTCTGGTTGGTTTGGTCGGAAGCTGGTAGAGGGTTCATGGGAGTGGTGAGGTGGAATTTGCAGCATCAGAAGTGTGAGAGCCAGGCCCGATGGCTAACACCTGCAATCCCAGCTATAGAGGAGGCTAAGGTGGGAGGATCGCTTGAGCCCAAGAGTTTGAGATCAGCCTGGGCAACATAGCAAGACCCTGTCTCTACAAAAAAGAAAACAGCAAAAAAACTGGCCTGGGTGATGGCGCATGGCTGTAGTCCCCGCTACTTGGGAGGCTGAGGTGGGAGGATTGCCTGAGCCCAGGAAGTTGAGGCTGCAGTGAGCTGTGACTGCACCACTGCACTCCAGCCTGGGCAGCAGAGCAAGACCCTCTCTCTGAAACAGAAATGTGAAGTGAGAGACCTTGATAAAGTGGGAGAGGGGTGTCTGCACACAGTAGGCACCACCTGAATGTCAGCGCCAGCCCCAGTGCAGCTCTTCTGATTGGGCCTGGATTCCTCTCCTGTCCTGTCCTCCACTCAAACCCCATCCCACTCTGTCCTCCCTCCAGGAGCACCCAGCCCCGGCCCCGGCCCCCAGCGGGTCCCCAAAGGACAGCCCAGCCCATGAGGTGACCGGCAGCGGCGGGGCCTACATGCGCTTTGATGTGCCGCAGCCAAGGGTCCAGCGCAGCTGGCCCACCTTCAGAGGTGAGTGCGGGGGGTCCCTCTGCAGCCCTGGCGCTGGTACCCAGGCGGGGGGGGTGGGAGGCAGGCAGGGGTCCCTGTGGGCACTGCCTCTGACCCCCGCCCGCCCCCAGCCCTGTTGCTGCACCGCTACGTGGTGGCACGGGTGATCTGGGCCGACATGCTCTCCATCGCTGTGACCTACTTCATCACGCTGTGCCTGTTCCCTGGCCTCGAGTCTGAGATCCGCCACTGCATCCTGGGCGAGTGGCTGCCCATCCTCATCATGGCTGTGTTCAACCTGTCAGACTTCGTGGGCAAGGTGGGCTGCCCGCCCTGCCCAGTGTCGGGGGACGCCATGGGGTGGAGGTGATGGGGAGGCCTTGGTCCATCCGGGAAGGGTTCTGAGTGAAGGATGCATGTGGATCCCAGGTGGAAAGGGCAAGAGCCATGCAGTGGCACCATGCCAGACAGTGTTCTGTGGAGGGTGGCCTCGGCCTGATCCCACTGGGGCACTCCGGAGTATCAGCTGCATCTCGGAGGACAGGTGTGGCACTCACCCTCTCGCCTCACAGTCACAGGTCCTCCAGGGATGAGCACAGGAGGATGCCCCAGAGGGGATCCAGAGAGGGCAGGGACCCTCAGAAATGGCTCAAAGAAATGGCTAGGTGCAGTGGCTCATGCCTGTAATCCCAGCACTTTGGGAGGCCAGAGATGGGTAGATTACTTGAGGCCAGGAGTTCCAGACCAGCCTGGCCAACATGGTGAAACCGCGTGTCTACTGAAAATACAAAAATTAACTGGGCATGGTGGTGTGTGCCTGTAATCCCAGCTACTTGGGAAGCTGAGGCAGGAGAATCGCTTAAACCCAGGAGGCGGAGGGTACAGTGAGCCGATATCATGCCACTGCACTCCAGCCTGGGCGACAGCATGAGACTCTGTCTCAGAAAACAAGCAAGCAAGCAAAACACTTAGCCAGCCATGGTGGCATGTGCCTGTAGTCCCAGCTACTCTGGAGGCTGAGGTGGGAGCATTGCTTGAGCCCAGGAGTTTGAGCCTGCAGTGAGCCACAATCGTGCGACTGCACTCCAGCTTGGGGGATAGACTGATACCCTGACTCTAAGAGAAAAAATTTTAAGTGGGATTTGGGGTATTTTAGAGGGGTGATTCAGAGAAGGGCAGGGGTGCAGGCCGAGCTGGACAGACCCAGGAGTGTTTGGGGATGGGGACGTGGCTGGAGGCTGGGGGGGTTGTGAGGGGAGTGGGGGTGGCCGGGACAGGGCGCCCACATGCCTGGCTCTCTGCAGATCCTGGCAGCTCTGCCCGTGGACTGGCGGGGCACCCACCTGCTGGCCTGCTCCTGCCTGCGCATAGTCTTCATCCCTCTCTTCATCCTGTGCGTCTACCCCAGCGGCATGCCCACCCTGCGCCACCCCGCCTGGCCCTGCATCTTCTCGCTGCTTATGGGCATCAGCAACGGCTACTTCGGCAGCGTGCCCATGATCCTGGCGGCGGGCAAAGTGAGCCCCAAGCAGCGGGAGCTGGCAGGTGAGGCCCACGGGGCATGGAGGGGGGTGGTCCTCCCAGCAGCGCAACGTCCCCCTCACGAGGAAACCCAGGGCAGACCGCAAGAAGGTGCATTTGGGTTCTGAAGGTTCAGAACAGTCAATGTCTGGGAGGCCGTAGGTGTGGAGACATTCTCAACCACTTCATTCATTCACTCATTCATTCACTCATTCATTCGTGTACCCCACAACTACTTGGTGAGCCCCTCCTGTGGACCAAGTGCTTTTCAAGGCACTGGGGACACAGTGGCGACAAAACGGCACTCCCCGTGCTGTGGGACTGACTGTCCAGATGTGGAGGCAGCCCAGGCTGGGCGCAGTGGCTCACACCTACAATCCCAACACTTGGGAAGGGCAAGGCGGGCGGATCACTTGAGCCCAGGAGTTAAAGACCAGCCTGGGCAGCACAGCGAGAGCCTCTCCTCTCTACAAAAGTGTTAAAAATTAGCTGGGTATGGTAGCGTGCGCCTATGGTCCCAGCTACTCGGGAGGCTGAGATGGGAGGATCACTTGAGCCCAGGAGTTTGAGATTGCAGCTGTGATGATGCCACTGCACTCCAGCCTGGGTGACAGAGCAAGATCCTGTTCGGGGAAAAAAAAAAAAAAAAAAAAAATCCTAGATTGGTGTGACTGGTTGAATGGCAGGAAGTCCTATGGGGAAAAATAAAGCAGAGAAACAGGAGTGATGGGATGGGGAGAGTCAGGCTCAAGAGCCAGCAGTGTAAATGGAGCAATCTGGGAAGACCTCACTGAGGAGGTG